TTTTGAGTATCAAACTTACAATTACGCGCCCTCATGTATTGAGAAGTTGGGGCACAAAAAAAACATAGTTTTGGTTTTCCATGCCTTCCAAGATTCAGTGATTTTTGGAATATCCCTTTTGATCGTGAAACCATAGATTACCTTAGCGATTTCAATAACTTTTTGTCACACGATCAACATAACTTTAGTTACGAATGCTATATAAAATATATTTAAAGCGTTTATAATACTCATCTTCTTCCAGCTTATATTATATTTCCATGCGGGCTGCAGTTACGTCCTTAATTATATTAGTAAGTCCCAGAGAAGAATTTCAAAGCTAATGTGTGAAGCAGTAAGCCAGATTAGCAGTGGCAATGTAACTATAAAGCAAAAGGGCATATGTTTATTTTGGGTACGGAAATGACAGCACAGGAAGCAGTTTACTTCTGTTTAGACATGCCTTTGTCCGAAAGTAGAAACGCTGGGGCTTTTATCAATACTTCATTACCAGAGCATCGGGTTGGGTTAAGGAAGTCTAGGCAACAGTTGCAAAACTTGTTCGATGACTCCAAAGCAATATTGGAAGTAAGACTTATAGATCATTAAGTTCAGCGCCCAGATTCTCTAGATAGTTTATGCCTAGCTGATTTTGCTGCTTTTTATAGTATTAGCAAACGGCAAAGTGGTACTAGCCAATTTGTAGATGATGGAAGTGATTGCGTAAAGAAGGGGCACACACCGTGTATAATTAGCTATAAGAGATTTAATATTAATACAGATAGGAGAAATTACTTAAGAGAACTTAGTATTTTGTATGTCCCGTGGAGGGATTAAAATGTAGAACTAGTAACGAAAGACTCCGATTTGTTTTGTGAGCAAAATCAGGAGTTAATCGAGTGCAATCGCAGGAAATATAATAGCTAAGACGATAGCATGCGCTTGAAAATGCAGCACAGGCAAAAAATGAAGGCAATGTTAAAAATCAGGAAGTAGTAGATCATAGACTTCGAATATTAGGATTGACGGAAATAAATTACCAACTAAATGTTGTAAACATGAATCGAAACGTCTCAAATGATTCTTCGTGTAGATCTTTGAAAATAAATTTGAACATGCAAAGTCACGCACCAAATGTTTGACCCCCATTTCCACTCAGGAGGAATGCATGTTTCGAAAAGTGTGAAACACGCCTCAAATTAATTTAAAAAAAGATCGTTACAATTTTTTTAAGCCGATCGGATGGTAAGCAAAAATCTTTCATGCAAACGTTTTTCGCCAATAAACCACAATTCCCCAAATCCCTGAAACGAGTATTTATAAACTTCTTATGTAGAGCTTTGAAAAAAAAATTTGAAGCTAATCAAACAAAACTTAAAACTTAACCAAAACAATCTTATAATCGCACTTTTTTTCGACGATGCTTTAATTTTGAGAAAAATGTGAAACAAGTCTCAAATGATTTTACATATAGATCCTTGGATATGAACTTGAGCGCGAAACATCACCCACCAAATCTTTGACCCCCATTTCCACCAAGGAGGGATGGATTTTCCAAAAAGTTCGAAACACCCCTGAAATGAATTTGAACAAAGATCTTTGAAAATGAGTTTGAGGCCGATCGGATGGTAAACAAAAAAGTTTCATATAAACGTTTTTCGCAGATTTTTCCACTCTTGCCATGGAGTTTCCCGAAAACCCGTCTTAACGTGCACCTTCATCACATAAGGTAACTAAAGTGAAAATTTCATGTTCCTAGCTCTTACGGTTCGGCCTGTGTGCTGATCAGCAATCAGTCAGCCAGTCAGTCAGTCAGGACAAACAGTTTTATATATAGAGATAATATAAATATTATGGATGAAATATCTATTGTAGGCTCCAAAATGTTTTCCCAGTTAGACTGGGTTAAAAACAAATTTTAAAAATTCTTCTCCATTTGGTGGTATTTCTGTAGTAGTTTTCGAGGATCGACGACAGTTATCACCTGTAGATGACCGTTGGATTTTCGAATCGAACTATAATGATCCCTACAGGGCAATTTATGCTTTATTGCTAATTGCTATTGCTAATCAAGAATTTTGAGCTTACCGAATTCATGCGACAACGGGAGGACTAATCATGTGCTTCTGCATTAAATAATATGGCGTTGGGACACATGCTAGCCGATGATATTAATCTAGTCCGATCCCTCATTTGTAAGCAATCGGATGTGCCCGATGATGCCATTTATCTATTTAGTACTAATGCGGCGACAGAAATTTTTAAACCGATAAAGCTAAACTCAATTTCGACTGATCAATTTATTTCTACCGTTGATGATTTTATTAAAGCTACACATTTAACTGTCGCTTGTAGACAGAGAATTTTACAAGCCGTTAGTAGCTTTAAGTCGTTCGAAACACAGTGATTGTGTAGGTCTCTTTATCTAAAAGCCACTTTGAAATTTATGATTACGGTTAATGAAGATACTGCATTCTTTAATGGCACATCAGGCGTGTTAATGCAAAGAGATTTTTATGCATCCAGCACTCCAATATCTTTATGGATGAAATTTTCAGATTATAGCGTAGGTGTTCTAGCAAAATGTACGCATCGTACGGAAGCTTTCTGGATCCCAACTCGGAAGATAGTTAAAAGTTTTCAATATAGAAGAAATGAGCAAGTTTCTATTGACCGTAGGCAGTTTTCAATTGTACCCGCAGAAGGTAGAAGGGAGCTGCGTATAGCAAAATGGTGGTTCACATTTGCTCTCGTATGCAGCGTGCTTCAATGTACGTAGCTTGTAGAGAGCAACAGCTGTTTATTATAGGAGATTTTGTTTCTCCTAAACCTCCGAAAATGGCGATAAGGTCCAATATGAGATAGAGGAATTGCGGACTGGGAAACTACTGCGAATACATTATGATCACTTAGCAAACAACACCGCCCTAAACATTTTCTTTCATAATACTGAAAGCATTCATAGCAACAACATATTAAAGATATTTGATCACTCAGGTTGATGCTTCCGTCACCTCTTCTATGTTATGTTGAGAGCTTACCATAGTCAAATGAAACTATTGACATTCCTGGGTTTTGTATAGTTGCCGTGTATATTACGCGGCAATACCTAATGTAAAGTGACCTAAGGGGGGAATGAACCCTCATGTATATTAAGAATGCAATTTTAAATCTAATTACTTTAGCGGTAGGAAAATATCTGGTTCAGTCGTTTTTTAGTATGCCATATTTCGTTATAAATCTGTAGGTTTTTTAGTTATTTACAAAAGTTTGTCATATACGCTTGGTTTGTTTTAAACATAACTTTAGGATATATTGCAGCAACATCATTTCCAAGGGACAGTTGCATTATTTTAGGAGATTATAATTTATGTTTGAGCAAATTTAATAGATGTAGGTGTGTTACGATGAAATGCTCCCGCTACCAATTGTGGTTCTCACATAAATTGGGCATTTTCAAATTTCTCTCGAGACAGTGTACAGGTATCACAGTGCTATCTCTGCAATTGTTCAGTGTACCCTCTGTAAATTAGGATTATATACACAGGTGCATATAATTAAAATGTGATTATTAAAAACATAAGAGTTTTATGAAAACAAAAAAATAAATCTATACCCTAAATTTATATTTAAAAGTATTTTTGGGGTCTAATACTTGGGTTCTGGGTATTTTCTAGTCGGACAATCCCGACCTGAGCACTTTAACTTGTTAGACTATGTGTTTTCTGTTTTTAATCATTACTGGTAGTTTCTCGCCTTCAATGCTTAGTATTTAAATACAAAATCCTCGAGGTTGATTATTTTTTTATTTAGCTAATTAATTTTGTTATTACAGTTTTCTTTTAGCTTCTTCTCGTCTGTAATATTGATAAGACTCTTTTCTAGATTTAAATTATCTTTTTAAATAAGTGTATTTAACTTTTAAATATGCGATTGCAAGTCTTGTACTAATTTTTATACCCTGAACCCATTAAAAATGGGAAAAAAGGGTATAATGTATTTGTGCAAATGTATGTAACAGGCAGAAGGAAGCATCTCCGACCCCAAAAAGTATATATATTCTTGATCAGCATCAATAACCGAGTCGATCTAGCCATGTCCGTCCGTCCATCTGTCCGAATGTATGAACGCAAGGATCTCAGAACCTATAAGAGATAGAGACTTGAAATTTTAGGTCCTCCTAGTCCATGCGCAGATCGAGTTTGATTCCGGTAATCGATAACTTGCCCCGTTTCCAAGTAATCGATAAAATCGAAAACCTGTTTTTGGAGCAATTTTGGTATATAATAAGAGCTAGAGTCACCAAACTTGTAGCTTCTAGATTAGTATATATATATCAAGTATCTTTCATTTTATAGCTATCGCCACCTCCCCGCTACCACTAAAAAGCTATATATCATGTTAGAAAACCAATTTGTATTGTCTAAATAATTAAGCCACAATTTAAATGCAATTCTCATTTCGAGAATATACGAATATTTTATAATACAATAAAATCTACTGAAAATTTCATCAAGATCGGTTAAGAAACACGAAACAAAATATGTTTTGGCCTGCAAAGACGTGCAGCAGCAAGCGCAAGTTCCAAGAATTTCTGTATACATGTACACACACACATTAATTCGCGTCTTCTTTGAATTCTATCAACAGCATTGCAATTTCGATTGTATTGTTTTCTGTGCTGCTATATTAATTCGCTTTTTTCTCATCAAGACTTCATTATTGGTGTGGATATTAAGTAGAGGCGGCGGAAAGTAGCGCAGTCAGTTCCGAGTTCGAACCCTGCCGAGGAAACTATTTTTTTTTTTGTTGGTTGGTGTGGCTGTTGCGTAGTTGCGGCAGCAAGTAATGCGGTCAGTTGCGAGTTCAAACCCTGCCAAGGGAACTTTTTATTTTTTAATTTATTTTTATTACCACTAAAGAAAACGAGCGCGTAGCGCGAACAGCATTTGGTGTATATAAGAATAAGAGGTTTCAGGGTATCCCCTAGTCGGGAGCTCCCGACTAGAACCTCTTACTTGTTTTTTACTAGTACTGTTGTTCTGCCCTATCTGGCAGCTAGGCGCTTACACTGTCGTAGCGTGATCTGCATTTTCCAGCCTCTTGCAACGTTTCTCGATGAAGGCTGCAAGCCGCTTATGGGGTGGTAAGACGTCCAACTGCGCAACATCGTCCCAGCCAGCTTGCCTAGCGCTGTCTAGCTTTTGCAGTAACGTATATAAATTACGCAATTGGCGGCGTGCGCCGTCACTTCCTCGGGGTATCGTCATCGCTGGCGAGATTGCAAGAGTTCAGCGACAGTCCAGTGGCCAAGTCTCTGAAGATTTAGTCCTCCAGGGTTATTCCAATTGCAGAATAACTGGAGTATAAGTTGGTGCCTTGAAGCTCCCAATCGCTAGCCTTGTGGCTAAGCAATTAAATAATATGATATCAAATGTGGCAAAGCCGGAGTAATGTATTACAGAAGCAGTGCACTTGTTGAATGTGTGAACAGAACGAAACTTAAGAACTAGAAGCCACAGCGGCTGGTGCATAAAAAAAATTATAATGTAGCTTTTGCAACAGCAGTCGGCAAGCCGACTAAGCATAAGCGAGAACACTGCTCTTGCGACACAGGCAAGGGCTCAGGCTACAGACGCTGACCACTTCAATCAGAGCACTGGCCACCAAGAATCCGCTGTGTCAGCATCATGCGCGCAACTGTTGACCAATGTTCTGGTTGACAAAAAATTGTCAAACTGTTGCGCGCGAAGGGCACTCGTTAACTACTCCCTCTTTTGAAAAAAGGGCGTCCTCGTCCATCTTAAAGCTCTCGACGACCTTCTGAATCTCCTTCGAAGGTCGTTTCCTCCTAAGTCGTTGAACGAAGAAGATGAGGGCACTGAACACAAGGCTGAGCCCAAGTCCCGCAGCGCACAATATCTTGGGCGATCCCACAGCGTCCATCCTTTCTTGCAAGCCTTGGATGGTAATAAGGTTTTAAAAATTCATCCAGTGCAAGAGTGGCTAGCTAAGGATCGGGTCGTGGGTTATGATGTTGACTAAAGGGGAAGCCGCAAAACCCGGCATCTTCCATAAGGCTTCGCGCTGGTTGATGTACTTGACGCTGTTGACCATGGCCGAACGCTCGAGTGTTATGAGATAAGACCCGTTTATTGATACTACTGCTCTTCATCTGTACTGCCCCTTGCGTGGCTCTCATTTACCACTATGATACTAACATCTATAACAGTGATTGGTTCTAAGTAGCTCGACTGAGTGCGACAGTGTGCCGTCCCACCGGAATGTAGGCCGCGTGCGCAAGTGTCGTGATGAGACAATTTGCAGATTGATGCGTAGGTGGTTGCATCACGGTTGACGACTGCCAGAATTTCGCTGTTGCACTCGGCTACGATGTCGTCCTGTAGTTGAAGTACGTCGTGTCCATGTGACACAGGCAAAATTATAACTTTTCTACAGACGGACTTAATTTTTGGATAATTGATTATAATATGAACAATACTTTCTGATTGGAGGACCTTTATGGGGGAGGCCAGGGTAATACCAAGCATCAGGTTCTGAATCGCAGTTATCAGCATTCTTTTTCTTGCTAACAGCGCTTCATAGAGATGTGGAGTGGCAAAAAACTCGCTGTTTTTTGCCTTTATTAATTTGTTAACGGTATCTGTAAGCAGATTTATTTGCTTCTGGGTTTCCGTATTTATTACTACCTGCATATTATTTGACTCGATCAACTTTGATTCCGTCATCCTAATCATATCTAAATCTGCGGCATCTGGTGTGCCGGCTACAACCTTGAGTGCCGTGCGCAGAAAATCCAAACTCCTGGCGATTCTGTGATGCACCCTAGCAGTAAATCCCCGTCTAGTAATTTACGCATGTGGGATTGCAGAAAAGTCTCGACGGTTTGCCTGTTTCGTCTATTATTGCTGCTAGCTCCGTTAGCTTACTACAAGGTCTAACGTAGCCTCTCTGCTCCCATACTAGTACATTACCTTCAACCATCGGAATATACTTGGAGTGAGAATAGTCGGTGATCCGAGCATTTGGTGCTATTAGAAGGACAATAACCAAGCCGATAACCCTGCAAAGAAAAACGGATTAAAAACTATTTTGTCTCTTAAACCTATTGGGTGAAATGAAGACTAACGCTACCTTAGGTTGTCCTTATGGACCACCCTCGCTTTTATAAGAACAGACATTCCCAAGTGTGCTTGTACAACTTCCTCTGTTAGCTTGTTCCCTAGCCTTCAATTTTATTTTGTGAATACTTTTTCTCCTACTTTGAAAACCCATTTTTGTCGATTTGGATTGTTTCTCTCTAGTTGGGTCTGCTGGGTACAATTATTTTCACTCTTGACTCTTCAGTCGACGCGTGAATAACCTCTATTGGTCACTGAATGAATCGTCCGATTGTATTCGATAGTCGCGTGCGTTATTAGTTCTACAGTGTCATCAAATGGAGCATTTCACCCGCGTTTGATGGTATCGGTGTTATACCTAGTTCCTGTTTTGTGGGATGTCTCACTATATATAGTAATCGCCAAGGATTTGTTTTACATTCTCCTGGGCCGTTCTATGGGCGCGGTTATGTTCAGCTTTAACTATTTCTCTTTATTCGGTTGTTTGTGACATCGGTCACTAGATTTTTGCAGTGCCAAAATTTGGCTGCCGGAAATGCTTTTACGAGTTCATTCTGTAGGAGTGCTAAGTGCAGCCCGCACTGAATCGCGTTTACGAGGCTTGGTTGCACCACAATTTTTATTTCCTGGAGGACCTCGTCATCTTTTGTGAAATATATGGTGTTCCGCACTTTTTCTCGAAATAGTACAAATGTACGTTTCAACGGAAACTGTGCCTTCTTTAGAATTATTTGGTTCCTAAAATAATTAAGCGGTTTGTCTGTGGTTTCTATCGTGTAGGTGAGTTATACGATAGTTCATTTTGCAAGCATTTACGTTTTGCCTCGAAAGCGCATCCGCTACATGGTTTTCTTTGCCTGGCTTGCAAAAAATGTTTGTGTTGTGTTCATATACGCCTTCCATTTTTTTATCTTTGCGTTTGGGTTCTATCCGACGCAGCGAAGGTGAGTGGCTGGTGATCAGTATAGATATTGATGTCTTGCGTACCGTACAGGTATTGCTGCAACTTACCCAACGCCCATTCTATAGCCAAAAGATCTGTTTCGTTTGATGCGAAATGCGCTTCGTTATCTTTTAGAGTTCTTGATATCATTGTGATTGGCGTGCCTTCTTGTGACAGTACCGCTCCGATACCATATGCAGAAGCATCCGTCGTTGGATCGAATGGTTTTCGGAAATCAGAATAACTGAGTATGACGTCTTCTGAAGCTAAAATATTTCTTAGCCTCTCGAATGCATCCCTTTGCACATCATCAAACTCGATGATATTCTCTTTAGACATGCGCTTGCTTACGGAGCCGTTTTCGCCATTTAGCAAATTTGTTACTGCAGCGAAATCTTTGATCGACTGTATCCAGTGCTGTTCCTTTCAGGCACGACCATAGATGTTGCAGTTTTTCAATGTTGGTCAAATAGGGATCCTTGTCAATGACCGTGGTGAACATACTCGAGAAATCGACCCACTCTGGGTAATTTCCATTGAGCTCTGTTAATTGCAGTTGAGGCAATCGAGACTAGTTTGCAACAAAAATACTGGAACGCAAATTATCAGCTGCGGCTGAATTAAAAGTGGAACAATGCGCTCGCGCTGAAGAGACACCCATAGACGAATAATAGTTGACTCAAACTTTGACTAAAGTCCACTTCAATGCTGGCATGACTCACATCCATCTGCCTCATAAGTTGTTTCAAATTTTGCCTGCAAGTCAGAGGCCAGAGGCTTATATAATCTTGCATCTCGTAGGCATCAACATCGCGAAATCGCACAGAATCCAGTTCAGAGGATAATCTATGGAGCCGCTCATATAAATTCTTAATCTTTATTTTAAGAACAGCAGCTTGGTTTCCAACCGCCACGCGATTAACTGACCTCGTTTCGTCATTGACACACGCACTTGCACTTTCATCAAACATTATTAATGTAGCGATCAACAAGCTTTACACCGCCAAACTATAATACAAGTCTGCGCGAACATGCGTTAGTGCGAGATAGCGTATAGCTGGTTACTATGCGCGACGTTTATGTTTAACAAAAAAATGTATGCAGTTGCCCAAGCATGTGAATAGTACAGTCCTTGTAGTATTTAATTTTACTTTCATGCACGCTGCATTTAAAGGACGACTTGTACACGTAATTGTAAACAAAATAATAAATAAATATACTGTCTTCATATATGTAGTTTAGGTAGGACAAACGTCTTTCTTTGTTAGATATCGCAAAGCTATATTGATTCTTACAAAAATTTAACCTATTTTTCCCGACTTTCTCAAAACAAATTTGTTGATATAACCCTGGTGTTCGCAACTCAACAAAACCAAGTAAGAGGCTCTAGTCGGGAGCTCCCGACTAGGGGATACGTTCGGGGTACGCGCTCGTTTGCCGCCGCCTCTACTCAAGAGCCACACCAATAATTGAGTTGTAATGAGTAAAAAACAATTAAAATAGCAGCACAGAAAACAATACAATCGCAATTGCAATGCTGTTGAACGAATTCAAAGCAGACGCGCATGAATGTGTGTGTTTACATGTATACAGGAATTCTTCGAATTTGCGCTAGCTGATGCTAACAAGTGCGCACATAACTTTTGTGTTTCTTAACCGATCTTAATGAAATTTTCGACAGTACATTTTATTGTAGAATAGAATATAGAATATTTGTGTATTCTCAATTGTATAATCTATTGCATTAATTGTGGCTTAAATTGATGGGCAATACAAATTGGATAATTTACTTGATTTATAGCTTTGTGGTGGTAAAGGGGAGGTGGCCATAGCCATAAAATGAAGGATTATTTTATATATATACTATTCTACAAGCTACATGTCAAGCTTGGCGTCTCTAGCTCATATTATTTGCCGAAATTACTTAAAAACCAGGATTTCGTTATCGATTTTTATCGATTACTTGTCTCTAGCTCTTATAGGTTCTGAGATCCTTGCGTTTCTACATACGGACCGACGGACGGATGGAAGGACGGACAGACAGACGGACATGGGTTGATCGACTCGGCAGTTGATGCTGATCAAGAATATATATACTTTATGGGGTCGGAGATGCTTCCTTCTGCCTGTTACTGTTACATACATCTGCACAAATACATTATACCCTTTTTACCCATTTTTAATGGGTTCAGGGTATAAAAATCATTCAAGTCGGTCGGACCGATTTCAAGTCGTGTATATATATATATATAGATTTTAAAATGCCTTTAAGAACGAATACTCAAAAAAAGTATTTTTCAGTCATTTTGTGCATTTTATTGCTGCGCAAATCCGCACTATTGAACTAACTTTACAGAAAAGACTTACGTTATGCCTCCATTCAATCCTAAACACCGGAGGGTGAGCAACCACGAAACAGTCAAAGTAAACATCAGTTCCTTCACGTAAGGCATTAGCATCTAAAGATGCTCCTAAACGGATGTAAGCTTCGGGGATATCTGCAACAAAAAAATGTTAAACATTAAAAGTGTTTTTATTAAGCTAAATGCTAGTTCATGACCTCTTTCGACGCTTATATTAATTTGTTTTCGCCTAAGTTGAACAAAAATTTAATTCTATTAACATTTGTTAAAAATAAAAAAACCTTATTTAAATTTCACGGAAGTATTTGTTGGATTCTGGTTCAGGAATCGCATCGCAATAGCATTAGTAAACATTCATGCAAACCTTAAAAGAGGTAGTTGTAAACAAGTTTGCAATCCTCTCTTTCGCTTGTCGTTGCTGCTATGAAATGTCCCCCACTTGTTCCCTCGTTGTTGATCTAGGCGAAGCAGAGAAATTGTTCTAAGCCACAGCCAAATAACTTATAAGCCAAAATACATTTTCGATTAATAAATGCGTATTGTTCTGGAAAGCCATATTTTTCCTGAATTGTTGGCTCTAGTTTCAAAACAGTTGCTAAGAAACATTGGCAACTAAACATTTAGAGGCTCAGGCAATAATCAACCTTTTTGCAGTGCATATAATGAAATTAAATCAGGAAGTTCTATTCAAGTGCAGCAAATAAAATAATTGTTACTTATTATAATTAGACAATTGCAAAACGCATATGTGTGCTGACAATTTAAAGCTCCCAAAATTCGCATATATATACATGGACGCCGCTAGTTGACTTTCCCGCTCTCCCTTTTGTGCGGTCATTCGCCGGATCAGCTTATATAATTTAACACATAAGAATTGCACTTCATATTTATGTAATAAGAACACAATTTTGCTTACAAGAACGCAAGAATGTTGCAGTGCCCTTTGCTTACATTGCAACATTCTGCTAACACATGAGTTCAGTGTCCGGCCGCTGCGGCCAGCAGCGGTAACCCAACACTTGCCTATGTCGCAAGCGACTGTGTTGGCGTATGCTGATTCGGCTTTCCGGATATAGCAGCTGAGAATTGTGCGCCCAGCCTTTGGGTTCAATCCAATTCAATTCAATTTAGTTCGTATCTGACCTTCAATAAATATACTTGCTCCGGCTCTGCCGTTATAACATACTTTCTTATTATTTTTACAATCACTGAGCCACAAGGCCAGCGATAAGAGAGCGAAGTGAAGCTCCCAACATAATCCACGTAAGAAGACTTGTTACAACCTCCACGCATTTTGCCTGCGACATACCCTGGACAGCGGCCCACTGCGCTGGACCACAAACAAGCTAACACGCATTGTTAGACATCCTTCAACAGCGCGGGACGGCAACTACTTAATTGGCGCCCAACCAACGAGAATCTACACCCTTAGAAAGGATTAAAAACTTATGTCTCGTACTATGTAAGTTCATTACAAATTTTTTTTCAAATCATTGAAACCTTAATTGAAATCAAATTGCTGAATACAGCAAAAGTGTACTATGAATATATCATGCCATTCTAAATAAAATAAAACCACAAATAAATATTTACATATGTGCTTCATACTTAAGCGGACCATGTCAATTAGTGCATGGAAAGCGACTATCAAGTGAACATAGAAGTTAGTGATGAAGCGAAATGAATGTAAATCAAGTACAAGAGTTAGTGCAGAACGCTGTCAACCAAGCATTGGCGCAGCAGGAACAGAGATTCCAGGCACAGTTTAGTGAGATGAGCGTAAGAGTTAGCAATTTGTGCATTCAAGTGCCACAAGTGGAAGTTTATAAGAGAATTTTGGTGAACTCAGAAATCAGATGCGATATTCTTCTCGATATAATCAAATCAGTTCCCGAGTTTAGTGGGGGATCTGCCGAATATGTAGCATGGAGACAATCGGTCGTAGACGCGTACGAACTGTTCCATTCATTTAATGGCAGTTTCACGCATTACCAAGCGGTAACGATCATCAGAAATAAAATCAGGGGCGCAGCTAGGACAGTGCTAGTGTCTCACAATATAGTCCTTAATTTCGACGCAATCATAGCTAGGCTAGATTGCTCATATGCAGATAAAACTTCGCTACGCCTTTTGAGGCAAAACCTCGAAATGGTTAGGCAAGGTGAATTATGGAATATTATGATGAGGTCGAAAGGAAGTTGACCCTAGCTACCAACAAAATCGTAATGTCACTCGAGGCGGAGCAGGCTGTATTGCTCAACTGTGAAGCCAGAGCAGATGCACTCCTCGCCTTTATTTCTGGACTGAGAAAGTCCCTTAAGCCCATTGTTCTTCCGGCACAGCCGAAAGACTTAGAGTCTGCATTGGCACTAGCCAGAGAAGCAGAATCGAGCATAGAGCTTAGTATGATTTCGGCATCCTACGCCAAAGCCATTGCCGAGAGAGAGCAGAGCCAATGAAAGTTGACTCATCTTCTAAATGTAGGCAAGCCACCAATTTTCCAAAGCCTTAAACTAGTTTCGAACACTCCCAAAAAAGGCACAACATGTCAGATAGGGTAACAGGGCCAAGGCGGCAGCGACTGAACAATGTTGTCCAGAGCGCTCCAAATTCGCAAGAATATCAAAAGTCGGCGGAGGCCGCTGCAATCGAAATCGAAGACGACAGCGAGTCATGCGATAACGACTCATTGCATTTTTATGGAACACTCCCGGCTGCCATATATAAAGCGACAGCTGGGTGGGAAAAATATATGAATATTAATTGATATAGGAGCGGCAAAGAATTACATGAAGCCCGTAAAGGAGCTAAAAGAAGTAATTCCTTTCACCGTACACTCGATGCACGGTTCGAGCAAAGTAACCAGTAAGTGTCTTATGAACATTTTTGGCCATTATACCATAATGGCATCATTATACCATCAAAGTTCCCATACAACAGCCCAGCATGGGTTGTTGACAAAATGGCCTTAACAGCAATGGCAGCAAAAATAAACGATTAGTGATCGACTTTAGGAAGCTAAGCGAGCGAACTATAGCCGATCGATACCCAATGCCGAATATTCCAACGATTCTAGCGAATCTAGGAAAATCAAAATTTTGTACGACTCTAGATTTGAAATCGAGGTATCACCAAATTTATCTAGCGGAACAAGACCGTGAGAAAACGTCATTCGCAGTGAACGGCGGGTAACATGAGTTTTGCCGTCTGCCTTTTGGCTTGAAAAATGCAGGAAGCATTTTTCAAAGATCCATTGATGACATCCTGAGGGAACACATAGGAATAATATGTAACGTTTACGTGGATGACGTAATAATCTTTTCTAAAAATGAAATATTGACACAATCTTAAAATGCTTGGCCTATCAAGAGAAAACCAAGTTCTTTAAAGAGAGCGTCGAATTCTTAGGCATTTTGGTGACCCAAAACGGGGCAAAGACTGACCCTGAAAGGTCAGAGCGATACAAGAGTATACTGAGCCGAAAAATCGGTTCAGCCTGCGATCATTTCTGGGGTTACCTAGTTACTACAGGAGGTTAATTAAGGACATCGCAGCAATAGCAACGACTCTAACCAATATTCTCAAAAGAGAAAATGGCTCGGTAAGCAAATATATGTCCAAAAAGGTCACGATTGAATTTGACGAAACTCAACGTAATGCCTTCGAAAGACGGAGGAATATCCTGGCATCAGAAGATGTCATACTTATGTACCCAGACTTCAAGCAGCCCTTTGACCTAACTTCTGACGCCTCAATGGATGGCATCGGTGCAGTCCTATACCAAGGAGGCAGACCTTTTTTCTATGATTTCACGCACGCTAAAGGAAAGCGAGACACACTACGCCACGAATGAGCAAGAATTGTTAGCCATTGTCTGGGCTCTAGGTAAAC